TCCAACAAAAGGAGAGAAGTATATTTCCCCACACCTTGATGCTGAGTTCAGCTGTGTGACCTCCTTTGGCCAGTCTATGAGTCCTTGCATGTTTCTGCTTGCTCTCTTATGCCTCTTCTATCACCTCGTTTGTCACCATAAGAACATACACGAGTTTGCTCCATGGAAGAGAGAAGACATGGATCATAGCTGAGTCCCCAAGTCATCTCAGCTGAGGCCATCCTAGCCTCACCTGAGCCTCAACTGACAGCCAGCAAACCTCCAGCTATGTGAGCAAGCCTAGCCAAGACCAGCAGAGCCACCTAGCAAACTCTAGACACATGAGCAATACACACTCATTGTTGTGTGCCACTGAGATTTCACGGTTGTTTGTTACACAACATCATTGTGGCAACAGATAACCAATAAAACCTGTGAGATTAGCCTCCTGCAAACTGTAAAGCACTATACAAATGTAAACTGTTAAAGCTCATGGAAATTTTGGATACACATATGTATATATGTATGTATGTATATATGTGCGTGTGTGTGTGTGTGTATACATATCTCTATCTCCAAGGACTCCATTGATCTACAAGATATTGGAGCCTGCGAAAAAAATCTCATTAAGTCCTGATTCAGAGAGTCATGGGATCAAAGTTTGAGTTGGACAGAACTTTGGTGATCATGTAATCTACTCTTCTACCTCTATACGGAGACTCTTCTTTTCTCACCCATGTTGATTCTCTTTTGTGTGTACCCACAGACTTGTTCCCTCTGGCACCTCTATGCTCTACAGTTGTGAAAACTTCATCCTTGACTCCTGCCCTCTCTCTAGCAATCCCTGTGTGGACAAGCCAGGAGGTTGGGTCCAGTTCCATCTTTCTGAATTGGCCTCTTCTCTGTCTTGTCATCTATCAGTTCTGCTCTGATCGTGCTGTGCTTTACAATTTTTCCAGATGCCTTCAACATGCAGCCACTTTACAAACTGAAAGCTGCTAATGCTGTATCTTTTATCACATTTTCCTGCATATTGCATTAATCTTAAAGGCTCAGCTTAATGCACACAAGGCCACCCTCTCTGAGTGTGGAAGGGCTGGTCTACAAAAGCTCATAAAATAAGCATCCTCCTGGATTTCCGAAGGGATGGAAAACCACAAGAATAAATTGGAAGAGAAACCAAGCAAGCTGTTTTTTATTTTCTAAAGGAAGGAAGAAATTATTTAGCCTAATTCAGGGCTCTCTCAGGCACCTCACACATTATTATCGCTGAACAAATGCTTATTATTCTTCTTAACAGTGAGGTAACCTGAGATGGACCTTTTCTTCCCTAAAAGGAATAAGGAGTATCTCCAGGTCCTATTTCTGCATCCTAAATAGTATCTTCACCTTAGCAGCTGAAGGATCTTTTCTTCTCTAACCTAGAAGAAGGCAGGAGGCAGAGTGCCTGTCTAGAAAAATGACAAATCAGACATGACATACATACAGACCCATTACTTCTGTCATATTTCTCTTCTTAACTTTTCTCAGCAATTAAGGTTTCCATGAGCCTCCCACTCCTTTTCAAATCCTGCTCGTGAGGCAGTTGTAATTAAATCCCCTTGGTTTCCCAATGCTTCTTCTTTGTAAAAAAAAAAAAAAAAAACTTCATCTTAGAAAAGTTCCTTTTCTAAATTTCCCCAAAAACCCTTTCCTGACTCGGGCTGTGACAGTCAACAAAATCTGTTCCTCCTTCTCTTCTGTGTCTAAATTCAGGTCAAGCACTGCCTTCTCCAGGAAGTCTTCCCTGATGGCCTAACCCACACTCATTTTGATGTCCTTTCTCTGGGTTTCCATAGTCCCCTATACGTGCTGTTATCATAATACTTACCATGCTGTCTTGCAGTCATCAGTGTCATTATTGTCTCCCACACTTAGCTTGCGCAAAGAGGCCAAGGTCGTGCCTCAGTTGACTTTGCGTCCATGGAGCCAGTTTTGCCCGTAGAGTTCTGGAGGAGGAACACTGACCAGTTGCCTACCCACCCTCACAGCAACTGTTTTGTTCCCCTTGAGAGTCCTAAGCCTAAATCAAGCATCATCGCCTTTTTTCCTGTGTTGTAGCATCACAAAGAAAATAAGATGCCATCATTTACCTGGAGATGAGCTTCATGGAATCTTCTGAAATTGTCAAATTATCAAATAACCTTTGACTACCTGGTATGGGGCCAGATTTTTACTAAGCACTATGGTGGGGGTTGGTAATAATGAAATATAAAATAGGTCTCAGACAATAAGAAATATACTGTCTAGTTGGAAATTTAAATATATGTATATAGAACACTAACTTTACATCAGAGAACATAAGTGCAAATAAGTCACATAGATAATTATAGCGAGAGGAGAAATTCCGATAGCAAGAGATTACTGGAAGGGGAGGAAAGTTGGGTTTACCAGGCAGCTTTACAAAAGAAGCTAGAATTGGGTCTTGTAGGATCTCAGTAGAGAGAGAAATGGGTGCAGCACTTGCAAGCAACTGCTATAAACAAAGGCACAGAGGCGGGATCTGCAAGCTGCTTAGATGTAGAGAATAACGAGTAGACTTGCCCGGCTAGGATGGAGGCCTTGTGATGGGGAGTAATGAGAAGTTAGGTTCCAAGGCCAGACTGAATTATCTTCATTTTTTCCCCCAATAAAAAGAACCACCCAAGTCACCTCCTTGTAAGAGGCCCCATCAAATCCAGGTCCTGAACAGGAAATGTGCACTTAGCAAGGAATGTGCAGTGTTACCATAACTCAGCCACCACCAATTACTCTTCAAGAGCACCATGTTAACTCTCGGTTAACCTAAAGCCATTCCTCTAGGCTGTGCTTTACCTAATTCAACCAACCAGTATAAACTGTGAACTCATGATGTCCTACAATCTGTACTAAACTCCCTAAATCACTCGAAAATGAGGGAGATAGAATTCCTAACTTCGAAGAATGTATCTTCATCTCATTTTTCTTCTTCCTATACTTCTCTCTCTTCTACCATTTCTTAGAGACAGTACTCTTTTAAGGGTTCCATCAAACTCCACACCTTCTGTAGCCCTTCCCTCTTGAACACATTTTAAGTACACTGGTAGATTTAAAGAGAGGAAAGAAGAAAACAGCTTAGTAAATAATTTGTCTTTGGAGGTGAAATGGTTAAGTTTTGAGAGCCTTCTTTATGTTAGATCTTCAGCTGTTCTCTTTTTGGTGGTTAAGAGTTGGCTCTATCTGCCAGCAAACTTCTTTTGCATCTCCCTCTGATGAGAAACAAGACATCTCTCCTCTTGTCTAAATGAAGAGTTGAAATCATGGCCTCGCCAAGATAGCACAATCCAACTCACCCTTCTGAGCCTGGCTTCGACCAGCCCCTGAGCCAGCTCCAAAACAGCACAGCATGCCTGGAAAACCCGTCCTCTCACTGCGCCAAACCATGTGTCTCCTATCATTTAAATAAGTCCTGAAATCCACTCTATCTGTGGTCCTTTAGGACTTCAGAAAAGAATAACTAAGTGCTTCCCCTCATCAGATACTGTCTACTCATGACAGGCTTTGGCCACTTTCTCTGATGGATCACCACCCCCAACCTCACACCGGCTCTGCATTCTCCTTCACTCCTCACCCCTGAACATATGCCCTTGACCTGTACTCACTATAAACAGCCTACACTTGACGTCATTTGTGGCATCATAAAACCTTTCTGTGGATCCAAATATTCTTGGGTTCATTGGGATCTAGGGAGTCAGCCCTGTTTGGGGTTGTTTTCTTAAGTGGACTGGGACAAAGCTATGCCAAATAAGCCTTCATTCACACATTATTTTCTCACTTGTTAACAACTGTAAAACCAAGCATTTATAAAATGCTTTCATATCCATGCCATCAGTTTTTTCTTCAACCTAACCCTGAAAGGTAGTATTTACATTATCTTCTCTCTGAATAAGGAAATGGAAATTAAAACATGTTAAATAACTTGCCTTTGATCAAGCAATAAATGATGCTAGGAAAACTGGGAATAACTCCATCTAGATCCTTCACCTGACACCGTTAAAAAAAAAGTTTCAGATGGATTAAAGAGTTGTGGGGGACTGGAATTGGCTACCCCAAGATACCTCTCTTTGGCATGAGGATTATTTTGGGCTAGTTACTTTCTTTTTTTTTTTTTTTTTGAGGAAGATTAGCCCTGAGCTAACTACTGCCAGTCCCCCCCTTTTTTGCTGAGGAAGCCTGGCCCTGAGCTAACATCTGTGCCCATCTTCCTCTACTTTATATGTGGGACGCCTACCACAGAGTGGCATGCCAAATTGTGCCAGGTCCACACCCGGGAACCTAGGCTGCCAAGAAGCGGAACATGTGAACTTAACCACTGCACCACCAGGCCGGCCCTGGGCTGGTTGCTTTTAAAAACTTCAGACAGGAGAGAAACTCTGAGAAGTAGAAGTTACCCTTTGTTAAGAGACATTTAGATTTGTAAGGGAAATCTCCATCTGTAAAGGTGTCTCCCTCTCTGTACCAGGAAGAATGGGGGATGACCTTATCTCTAGAAACTCTTAACCAATGCAGAAGGCAAGGACTTAAATCTGCATAATAACCTTACTCTTGTTTACTGTGCTTTTCTGGTAATCTCCCATAACTTGCTCCCCCATCCCCAACATCCTCCTCTGTCTTTAGCTGAGGGTGGCGTTTAAGGTGAGAGCTTCTGCCATTTTGGTGAGTTGCTCAGTTTTCCTGAGTCTCTCCCATGTATACATGTTATAAAGCTTTAATTTTCTCCTGTTATTCTGTCTCAAGTGAATTTAATTCATTGTCCAGAGAGAAGGACCCAGAGTGGGTAAATGTCTTCCTCCCCTACAGAGTTAAGCATAAAAATAAAACTATTAACAAAAGGAGAAAATGTAGTTGAAAATTTGCCTGATCTCTGGATGAAGAAAGATTTTTCAGGCATAAAAACCCTGCAAGAAATCACAAAAGCAAAAATTTAATAGACAGTCTACATAAAAACATAAAACTTTTATATGTCACAAAGCCAAATACAAAGCAAACAACAGTCTGAGCAGAAATTGCCTGAGAAATGGCCAGGCTATCATGGCACAAACTTGCTCAGTCACTGACTGGGGCCACCCCTGGAGCAGTGGGATATTGGCTCCAATACTGAGGCCAGTCCCAAAGGAGCTAACAGCTGGAGGCAAGGTCTCTCTTGAAGGGTGATCTGAGTGGCACATATCTGTATCTACATAAGAAAACAACTGGAAATATACCAAACTGTTAATAGTGGTTATGGAATTGTGTATTATTTTTATTTTCTTCTTTATCCTTTTCTATATTTCCCATATTTTTGCAAAAAGCATGATAATCAGAGACTAAGCTTTTATATTCAGAAAAATAGGGGTTTTTATTTAGAATGAGGATTTCTGTTTTCCTTAATCTCTCTTACTCTTATGACCACACATCTTCTGAGAGTAACAGTTCTAATACATTCTAGTTTGCTTAGAGACATTTGTCTTAGGCCATTCTTTTCAGAAGAAGACAAAGCTTTGAAGTACACACATACACACAGAGGACTGTCTTTGGTTGGTTTTCTGAGGTCTCTGCTTCCTTCAAGGTTTATGAGGAAGTTTTCAATTTCTCTCTTGTAACAACTGCATTGGAAGGAAGAGAAGAACTCGAATAGGGGAGAAGGAGTTCCCACATACCGTCTGCTACATGCAGGGCTGGGCCAGGGGTTTTATAGCATCCCATTGTCTGTTATAGGTGCAATTATTGCCACTCTACAAACAACAAGGATCATAGTCAAGTACGTTGATGCGCACCTAGTTAAGTGCTGGAGACAGGATTCACTCCAGGTCTATTTGGCCCCAAATCTCTGCTCATTCATCTACACTTCACTGCCTTCGATCGTGATCTATCCACATCCCGCAGCTCAGCAAATTTGGGGAAGGTGATCACTGGAAATGCCTTGGCATGCAATATGGAGTCCTGCCAAGAGTGGGCTGAGAGTCAAGAGATTGTGTTCCAACACTGGCTGTGTCCAAGGTGCCGGATGACTCTGGACAAGTTCATTTTCTCACCGATAGAAGCAGTGGCTGGGGCTAGTGGTTTCAGAAGGGCTTTCCTGCTCCTAACCTCTGGCTCCCTCAATATTCCTTCATGTGTGTGTAAATAGGGCTCTCAGCAAGCCAGTGCTACTCATGCTGCTTCAAGGGAAAACAGAGTCCTTTAAACAGTTCCCTGTGATTGCCTCACTCAGAACTCCTGATAAAGTCAACCACATTCACTGTGGCCTTGTTTACCAGCAAAAGACTGCTAGCAATCCAAATGCCTTGGAGAGAGGACTCGTTAAATAATCTATGGCACAGCCGTACAAGAGAATGCAGTGCAGATGTGAAAAAGAATTGGGGGGGTTTATCCAGCACCTTCTACACTGGGCTTCCAGGATACCACATTCTTATATTTCCTCCCCCCTCCCTGGCTCTCCTGTCTCCGTCTCCTTCGCTGGCCCTTCCTCCTCTTCCCAACCTCTAAATGTTAGAGGGACCCTGGGATCAGTCCTGGCCTTCTCGCTACATTCTCTCTCTGCATTCAATCTCTGATGCTCATCCAGGCCAGAGTTTAAAATACCATCTGATGACACCCAAATTTGTATCTCCAGCCCTATCCTAAGTGATGCCTTTGAGACTCATAGATCCCATTGCCTTCTGAATATTGGCCTTGGGACATGAAACAGGCATGCTGAGTTTAACACACCTGAGCCAGAATGTGGCAATCACCACACTAGCCCCTTCTTCCTCATTTCCATAAATGGCTCCCCATTTCAGTAATGCAGTACATTCACCCAGTCACTCAGGTCAAAAATCATGGAATCGCTTCCATTCCTCTCACTCATATCCCACATCCTGTAGGCTCTACTCTCAAAATACAAATCTGCTGTTAGACCAAGCCACTGTCACCTGCTTGCAGAGATGGCAGCAGCCACCTGGTCTCCCTCAATTTCACTCTTGCACCTTGACAGTCTCTTCACCACACAGCTGCAGGAAGGATCTTTATAAAACATTTATCAGCTGGTATGCCCCTACCCAAACCATCCAACGGCTCCATATGTCACTTAGAATAAAAACCAAACTCCTCACCACAGCCTCAGGGCCTCATGGGCTGTGTCCCCTGCCTGCCTCTGTGACCTCCTCTCTGACCACATGGCAGCCTCATTCTGCCCCAGCCACACTGACCTCCTTCCTGTTCCTCTAGCATGCCAGGCACACCCCACCCTGGAGCCTTTGTCCGTGGTGTTCCCTGGACCTGGAAAGACCATGCCCCCTCCCTCAGCGTGAGTTACTCCTCTCTTATGTCACCTCCCCAGGCTGCCCTTCCTTGGCCATCTCATCTGAAAGAGCCTCATCACTTCTCTCCTCATTCTGTGTTTATGTTTTCTTCACGGCACTCAGAACTACCTGGCCCTACATTACATAATCATCATTTCCTTGTTTATCTTCTGGTATTGTCACTAGAATGCTAAGGAGGGCCGAGATCTTGCCTGGCTTTTGCACTGCTGTATTTTCAGTGCCTGGCCCTTAATAGGCACTCAAAAGTTTGTCAAAATGATTAATGAATATAGGTGCTGTTATAGAACAATCTCCAAGATATATCATTGCATAAAAAAGCAAAGTGCAGATGAGGCCTAATGCTTCTGGAAGGATACACAAATTGTCCAAGATGGTTGTCTCTGCAAATGGCGACCAAAGGGCAAGACTAGAAGGGGAATGTATTTTTCAGTGATAATTTTTTGGACCGTTTCAATGATTTCCTATAGGCCTGAACTATCTTTTCAATTAAACAAAGAAAATCCCCTTCTGTCTGGTCACTTGTGTTGTTCTAATTGGACACGTTTTACCTTATTGATAACGTAACTTATAAATAACGTTAATAAGTTATTGATAACTCCTCAACCTCCCCTATTTCCCCTCTAGGGTCTTCAAACTTCTCCAGTTCACCTTGATTTCTTCAAATGGAGACCACCACATCCTTGTTTTGTTTTTGTTCTGTTTTGTTTTGTCTTGTTTTGTGGGAGGAAGTTCCTTACCACTAAGACCAAAGACCAGAGTTTGATTTTATATAAATAAACTATTCTGACAGGCTCCAGGAACAGTGGCTCCTCTGCGGAAGGACCCCTCTCCACTCCCCTCTGAAGGAAGCTCAGAGCTTTGCTATCTCCAAGTTAACGTCTCCGCTGCTCTCCCAGTATCTCCCGGGTGTAGACCTCCTGACTGCCAATTCCAGGTTGCACAGTCTCAGAATCAGGCATCATTAGCTTGTCCGACACCATTCTTAAAGAACGGCTGGAATATGCCTTTCACTAAAGGTGAGGGGGCTATTTCCCACCCCACTGCTTGTCCTTGGCCTTGCTCCACAGAACCTGAGACCCAAAGACATAGCTCCCTTGTTTCACAGATGATGAAACAGAAGCCTAGAGAGTAAAGTACTTGTTCAAGGTTGCATGGTGAGTTTAGGAAAGCACCAGGACTAAACGGCAGGTCCCCAGATTCTCAGTTCTAGGCTCTTTCCAGGTAGATCTTCATCTGAGTCCACCTCAATTAGGCTGCCCCTCAGCAACATGCTTGCTTTTCAGGAGAACTGAGGCAAGAGGAGTGAGGAAGAGAACAGGTTCACAGCCAGAGCAGCTTCTGGAGGCTCTGAAGGGGCACTGACATCTCTTGGATATTACGAGGACTTGGGGCCAGTCCATGAGCACGCATGGGACCTAGTGGGACACCCTGGATGTTTTCTCAGACCTCAGCCTCCTTTGCAGACCACAGCAGACATAATTTCCCTCCCATGCTCCAGAATCAGGTGTGCTTTAGGTTGACTGCAGAAACCTCCTACCTTTAAAAAAGAAAAAGAAAGCAACGTATTATAAAAGCAGAGTACATTAAAGCAACTCTTCTCTGTGAAAATGCATGATCATAGACAGAAGTGTTTAAGAAAACACCAAGGACATGGGTTGAATTGTTAGTGGATTTTATTCATCAGAGATTACGTACTCACACAGACTCTCATAGTCAAAACGAGTGACAGGCTTTAGGAGTTACAGGTCTGATAGGGAGAGAACCAAGAGGCAGCTTCAGATGTAGCCTTCACTTAGTACCCCAAGAAAGTTGTCAAAGCTTTCCTAAGCACCGCTTAGGAAGGAGGCAATGGTCTCATACCATCCAGGGCTGTGTGCAGAGAGATCGCCTGCAGTGTGTGTGCTTTGCAACGCTGTGCTGAAGGTCTATATCCACGTGGCTGTGTCCTGGCCTCATCAGACACATACTTGGACTGTCCGGGTGGGGAACCTCCTCTGCGGGTCTTGCTGTGCTCAGAATCACAGGTGTCTGAGCAGCTTCCTCTGGCGGCCTTAGCTAAGAAGCATCTTTGGAATTCTTCTGGGCTCGGCTCTAACTTCTGACAGCACTCAAACAGCTACTAATAACAAACCATATTCTAACTCCCCAGCAAACTAGTAATTATTACTGCAATTGCTATTCTAGTATTGAAAAATTGAAAATGGGGGGAACTTACATTATTGTATTATTTCATATTCCTACTTTATATTTTATTAGTAACTCGTAACCATTACAAAATCAAACAAAAGTAATAGCTACTACCTTTTGTTAAACACTTCCCTATATGCCAGCTGCCCAGTTAATCATGCGGCCTGAATATTTCATTGACGCTCAAAACCACCTTAGGATAAAATATGATTATCTCCATTTTACAGATAACAAAACAAAAAAGAAGTTCGGTAAGTTGCCAGTCACACAGCTAATAAATCATGTCCACCTAATTCCAAAGTTCTGGTTTTAACCACCAAGTTATGGGACCTCCCATTACTGAGTATTTAGAGCACTTATAGGATGCTTTTGGCATCATGAAGGAAGTGATTCTTTTGTGGCCTCTGACTTTGACCTTTCTACCAATTAACCGAAGGGGAATCAGTAAACCCTAGATTGAGCTTCTTGCTACTGCTGCCAGGTATCCAAAGATGATCCTCTTTCAACAGGACATGGTGGAATTTAAAGCGGCATCACGGAGAAGATCAGGGTCAGATAATTCATTCCCTTAAAAAGTCTTTATGACCTCATAACACATACTACTAATTGGCAATGTAATGCCATTAACTTAATCTCCTTTAACGAGAGTGATTCAAGACCTACTATGAGATAGGCATTAAATGAATATGCAAATATTCATAAAATGAATAGGTCCCTGGGTCCCGAGGAGCTGACAGTCTAGTGGGAAACATGTATAATTATGGTACGTTACGATGAGACTTGTCATAAAAATACGAAGTCTAAGAAAGCCTAGCACTTAAACTGGATGCAGAATTTGAAGTGGGTCTTGGAGGGTGAGCAGGAGCACGCAAAGCTGACTGAGCACGGGAAAGAGAATCCAAAGGGTAAATAATGTAGAACTTGGAGCAATGCAAGCGGCAGCAGGTGCCAGCAAGCTCTCTGTGGCTAAGTGTTAACAAATGAGCGTGAGAAGGCAGGCTGGGTCAGTTCCTAGCCAGTTCCTAAAAGGCCTGGAATATCACATGTTAAGAAGATTGAGCACCATCTGTACACAGGACAATGGTGGGCCATTAAAAGTTTCTGAGCAGAGGAGTGAAGCAATTAGAAAGCTTTCAGGACAAAGAAAGATCACTCTGGAGCCTATGTGGCCAGCAGATTAATAGGTATCTGGGTCTAGGTAGATTTGATGGCCCTGAATGTTTAATTAAATGAATTTCCTAAACACAAAAAGTATGATACATTTTAATGCGTTTCTGTCTCTCTCTTTCTCGCTCTCTATGGCAACTAATCTTAATTATCTCAGAACTCTGAGCTCAAGAAGCTATCTCACCTGTTTATCTTCAGAGGGAACACGTCAGGGGCTTACTTGAGTATTAAATGTGCATTTTTATAGGTTTAAGGCTTAATTAAATAGCGTTGAAATCCATATGCAGGTTATTGAAAGTGTAAGTACCTGGAATGATAAGAGGAAAAAATATTTAAAAGTTGTCATATTGAAGCATTGTTATTGAAAGAACAGAAAACTCCTGCTAAAAACCAACTCATTGCACCCTGGTGTCTTAGTTCGGGCTGCTGTAACAAAATACCACAGACTGGGTGTCTTATAAACAGCAGAAATATATTTCTCACAGTGCTGGGGGCTGTCAGTCTGTGATCAGGGTGCTAGCACAGTGGGGGAGGGCTCTCTTCTGGGTCTCAAACTTCTTGTATCCTCACATGGCAGAAGGGACTAGGAATCTCTCTGGGGCCTCTTCTATAAGGCATTAATCTAATTCACGAGAGCTCCACCCCCATGACTTAATCACCTCCCAAAGGCCTCACCTCCAAGACCATCACATTGGCCTTTAGGATTTCACCATAGCACCTGGGTTCTTAGAGCATCTTCCCCCATTACAAAGAAAGTCTGTGGAGGAAATATGATTCAGTCTACCCCATGTTCCTCCACATCTGCCATCTCCCTCCCTCTCCTCATCCCCCATCACATAAACAGGGATACACCCAACACCAAGGTTATAACCCAATTCAACCATTGCTGTTAGCTGACTCCAGAAGTTCAAAGAAATCCATCCCCAAAGCATAATAAATCAGGATAACCACCCAGGACAGCAGGACAAGCAGAAAAGGAAGCAATCTCAGTAGAGTCAAATGAAAGGGATGGACCCTCCATCACTTATAGCAGCATACGCAATCAGTTGTCCATCTATTCATTCAGGAATCAGAGAGCACCTGGTATCTGCCCAGCTCTGGCCCAGGCCCTGGGAATGCTAAGAGAAATCGGAAATGGCCCCTCTCCTTAAGGAATATCTATCTCTTTGATGGCTACTACAATTCTATAACGGCTTCCATTGTTCAGAGGAGGAAATTGACGCTTGGAGATGCTAATTCACTTCAAGATCAAGGATCCCTTGTGGAAGGCGGGGGTTGAATGAGGTAGTAAGAAGTAAGACCTGGATGAGAGGTGAGCACTTAGCCACAGACTCTAAGCACAAGCTCAGGAGAGCACGTGTCATAAAAGAAGTCCCCAAGTCTAGGGGCCAAATTTACACACAGGGACCCCAGACAAGGGGGCAGAGAACTGCCTAGGCAGGAAGCCATGCAGACAATTATGTTCTCCCAAAGACCATCTTAGCACTAAAAGCACACACATACACACACATGCGCAAAAGGACTGACTTCATAACTATAACAAAGGTATTCAGGAGGCAGTGTGTATAGTGGTAAAGCGTATAGCCTCTGGAGACACAGAGACCTGGGTTCAAACCCCAGGTCTGCTACTTAATAAGTGGTCAAGTTACTTAACCTTGCCATGTGTTAATAATAGTTATCTCAAGAGAGTGTTGTGAGAATTACATAGGAGATAATGTATGTAATGTGCTTGGCATCGTCCTTGGCACTCAGGGAGAATCAATAAAAGTGAGCTATGACACTTCAAACTCAACAAGCCCCCAAACCAAAGCATTAGTTGTTCTCACAAACCTATTCCTTCTGCACCTGGATTCTCTATCTGCACGATTTCCACCCACTCACCAAAATCAGGCACCACTCTCAATTCCATTTCTTGTACCACGACCCTTCCCCCTTTCTCTGCCATCTTCATCATCACAGCTAACATTTTTGGTGTATTTCTATTTTCAAAAATGCTCAGCTAGGCACTTTAGAAGACCTTTAATTGGGCAGAGGAACCCTACAAGGAAGGTACTGTCATTTTTTCCATTCGAGGAAATTGAGCCTTAGAGAGGTTAGAAACTTGCCCAAGGTCATACAGCTATTTAGTGAGAGAGCTAAAATGTTATAGACAGTCTAATGCCAAAACCCATATGCTTAAACATTACACTGTATTGTCTCCCAACCAACCAGTCACTAGCTAAGCCCTATGGGTTCTCCTCTTTAGTTCCTCTTGGATCTAATCCTTGTCACTGCCCTTCGGCCACGGCCTGCTCTGCTGAAGCGCAGAAAGCTCTGTGGGTGGTAGGAATGGTGGTGTGGACCATCTTGGGGAGCTCTGAATGCCACGCTGATGGGGAATTTGGCCAACACAGAGTCTCTGAGCCTGAGAAAAGGTGTTGCTGGGCTGGGAGCAGCCCTGGTGGGGAGGGTGGGCAGGAGTCACTGAGGGCTGGGCAGGAGATGAGTACACTGGTCTAGGTATGAGGTATGAGGGCCTGAAGGCAGGTGGTGGGGGTGGGAATGAAAAGAAAGGCTGGATGCGACAGACATTACCTCACCAGGCACAAATACTCTCGAGGCTGGAACTCGGTTTAATAATTCTGTTACTAGGGCAACAGCAAAAGAATCTATCACAGAAAGAACCCAGCGTGGCCTGTTTCTGCACGGAAGTGTGGCAGCTATAAGCTGGGGAAAAAGAAGTGAAGGTGGGTGGCCAAATGATGCAGCAGGACACGTGGACCAGACTTTTCTCATAGGCATCTTTCCGACTTTTCACCCTCCTCAGTTTGGGGACTGGAGCGACATTTGAAGCAGGCTCTCTAGAAAGGAAGATGGCAAGATCCGAGAAGCAGAGGCTCTTTGAGCCCTCTGACAGATTAGCCATCCTGCCCCTGATACTTAGACTAGTCTAAGCACCCTGGGAAGGCGGGGGGATGCCTCACCCACATCTGCCCTCATGAGGGCGCTCACGGGGAACAGCTCAGATCTGCCTGGCGATGGAAGCAAAAGCATTCATCACAAAGTTAACCAGTCACTCAGCTATCTGCTTTCCTCCCACTTAGTATCACTGGTACTACGACCAGGCCTTAAAGGTAACTTTTCCATCCATCCAGGAAGTGAAGCGCTAGGAAGCCTCTGCCTCTGGGAGTGGGTTCGTGAGCTCTGGTGGAAAGTACTAATGCTCCCTGCAAGGCCCATCAGAGGGTAAGCTTTCTTCCTATGAGTTCCCTAGCTCTCCCTGCCTTTTCCCATTTGTCCTTTCAGGAATATCATGATGAGATACTCATATCATCCCATTTGTCTCTGACAGTCAGAACTTCCAAAACATTAACAGCCTTTTAAAGAGACTAGGAACACTTTGAGACTTAAAGACATTCTCACCAGCCTCACCCAGGATTAATGCTATCCTTTTGAATTTGCAAATCAAATGCTAAGTTGACCCCTCAACATAGCATCGGTAGCAAAACCTCGAATGTCTGTAGCGCTTGTGCTCAAAGTTTTTACCTCCCACATTTCACATTTTCTTGAAAATCTGTCCACAAGGAATGCTGAAGGAGATACAGGACTCAATTTCCTTCCGTTGTCCTCCTGACCTCTCATGAGCCCATGTGAGGTACAGATTCCCCCTAAGAGACCACCAAAGGCTTTCACTGCATTAGCACTTCAGGATCAAATATTGCTCTGAAGACTAGACCAGGGGGCAAGGTGGCCACACTTGATTATGGAGAGATTTCCGCTACAGTGGTTATGTGCTATCAGGGGCTTTGATAAGTATGCGATCCCCAGTGGTTTGCCCATGGATACAGCATGTTCCAGATTGTCTTGGAAGGAATTTCTCCTTATAGGAGTGGCCACATAGGGAATTTGAGTCACATTGGGCATTGATGAGTCAAACCTTGCTGGCTTTGTCACTCATTTTTTGAGTGAGATTAGGCAAGGTGTCTTTCCTTTTAGCTTCCATGCCTGCAAAAGGAAGAAAATTATACAAAATATTCTCATAGGGTAATATAAGAATTTAAAGCTGAAAAGTGTCATAAGCCTTCGGAAAGACAAAGAACACCAAAGCGTAAACAGATCACATAACAACCATGGTTTGATCTGGTCTGAAGTCAAGGTACCATTTAGTGCTAGGAGGGGACAATTTATTCCATGGAGCCTGTAAAAACAATAATGAGCATTTTGAGGCTTTTGCACATGATGTGGTGGCATACCTTAGTAATTAAGGGCTTGCACTCAGGAATAAAACTTTTTGGACCAAATCCTGCCTCCATCACTCACCAGCTCTGTGACCTTGAGCAAAAGGCACCTCTTAGAGCTTCTTTTTCTTCATTTGTGAGATGAGGGTCATGCTACATGACTCACTGGGTTGCTGAGAGGATCACATGCCTGACACAGGGTGAGGAATAAACAGTAGATATTGTGTTAAATTAAATCACATTCGATTTTTATAACAACCATGGAGAAGCAATATTTGTCATCCCTGTTTTATCAAAAAGGAAACTAATGCCCACGGAAGCTAAGGCGCTTGCCCAAAGTCATTTGATAAGGAGCCTTCTCATTTCAAAGCTCATACTAGACCTCCATTGTCTCACCCATGTTGAAATCTACACAGAGAGTCTGTGTTTTCCTCCCAAATCAACAGGCTCGGGCAAAGTCACAGTGTCAGTTTCAGGCATAACAACTACTACACATAGGCCTAGCCATGGCAATAGTATATAGATTTGTTATAAGCTAAAAATGTGATCCAATCTCCCCAAAATAGGATGCAATTTCAAGGCTTCCCCTTGGATTCCCCTGGATAATGAATGCTGCACAAATGTGTAATGTGGACGAAGCCTGAGAACAAAGGGAGCGATTTCCTCTGGCCTGCGCTCTGGAGGGGACGGATCCTCTGAGCAGGACTCAGGCAGCCTGAAGGGAAAAGACAAAAATAGTTCATACCAACTGGTACCAAAAATGTAAGCCCAGATCCAAGGCTCACATATAGATAGACAGATAGATATACATATTTGGCCCTTAGGCCCCTGCCTTTCCAGCATGTTTTGGAACTTTTTTTTTCTCTTTCAGGTTGACCTTCTGAAACTGGCAAACAGCCATTGATGATTAAGGATCTAAGTACTAAAGTTTTTTCCTTTTTGCAATGACTGATTATAGCTTTTAGCTGTTTAACCCACCCATTGTTAACTGTGCTGTTTAGGCAATATGCTACCTGACTCCCACTAGGCTCTTATAGATAACATCTTCCTGGAGCCTGGGTCACCAAGGTGATGGGTGCGTGAGCTGTTTTTCAGGAATTAGAACTCCTTGTCCACTTCAGGCCAATTGGGACCACCAACTCATCAACTGGGTACACACAGGTGTCCAATAGGCGACCCTTTGACATCAAGAGGCTAAAGCTTCACCCTCAGATCATGCTAATGCCGCCATTTTGTGAACGTGGGTCCCGTGAAGAGGCGTGGAGTCTGACTACGCTTGCGCACATCATCAATTACCTCCCCTCCAATCACCTCTCCTCACATTTCAGACCACCTTGCCCCCTACCCCATAAATATCCCTGAGTCCCTATTTTCAGGGAAGCGAATTTGAGACTCATGCTCTTGCTTCCTCGCATGGCTGCCTTGCAAGTAAACTCTCTCTCTGCTGCAATCTGGCTGTCTCAGTGTTTGGCTTTCTGGGCAGCGGGCAAAAACAAACCTCGTTCGGTAACACTTCTTGTTCATTTTCTTTTGCTTTCCATGGGACTTGCCCCAAGCCCCATACTCACTGCAATGACCTTGCTGAAAAGAGCTCAGGCACCGTGGAAAGTCTGGGGTGAATTGGATCCCTTAAGCGCTCCTACACCAAAGTCCTTGAAATGTTGACATTCTTTACACCTGAACCCACTAAATTCCCCACCCGGGAAGCACAACAAAGTATTGACTCGTGAGCCTCTAGGTTGCTAACCCCATGGAAGTCCTGAATTGAAAACATTAGTAGATTTACCTTAATAAAATGGCACATGCATTTCTTTCTGTGACTTTTCTCCTGAGCAAATGCAAGTAGGCCCAGAGTACATTTCTCTTTGCGCTTGAACCCATGCCTCTGGGTGGAATACTTACTGGCTAACATTTGTGGACTGCTTACAATGTGCCCAGCACTGTGTAGTTGTTTAAATCTCTGTGTCTGGTGCTTGGGTCTTAAAGCTTCAAGCTTCTATCCTCTCCCTGCAGACTTGGTCTCGATGGAACTTTAGATTCGGGAGGGCCCTGCGAGATCATCCTGTCTGGTTTCACAGAAAGGAAATCAAGGTCCTGGGAGCCACAAAGTCACGCTGCTTCATACTGAGAGAAGCCAAGCGTCTCAGGTGTGTCCGCCTTGCTCTATGTCACCCTGCCCTTTCCTTTTATAATATCAGGGGCTGAGCCCACCTATCTTTTGGACCATGGGAGAGCTTTTTGGAGACACACTGGTACCTGAGAGAAATCATCAAGTTGGGAGGGCAGGTTTGTATCAGATACAGCTAAAAATAGGAGCCTGCCCAAGACCACACTCAGCTGGGGGGATTGTACTGATACCAGGGGCATCTCAGCACACTCACCTGATACCCACCTGTGCTCCTGGCAGGATGGTCACCCCGGCCACCTACAGGGCAGAGGTGGGCTGATAAAACAGCTGTACACACTAAGGGCAACTCAGCTGCTGTTGAAGCTGCATGAGCAGCACTATGGGAAGAGCAAATTCCATCTTTGCAGCCACCTGACAAGAGGGGCTACATAGTGTGATGAGAAGAATAGGAGGGCTCTTCTCTTAGCCCCCAAATACTTTCCCTACTGGCTCACGAGGTAGTGCCTGTAACCTTCCATTATGAAGGAATTTGGAAGTTCTAAGGAGAGTTGGAATTATCTAGTCCACCTCCCTCAATATATAGATGAGAAAAGTAAAGCCCAGAGACATTAAGCAACTCCACCAAGGGTAAACAGCCTAGTCTAGAACTTCCCAAGGCAGGATCCTGGAAATAATAGTTTCACAAGATGTTTCATGAAAAAAATTTTTTCAAGCTTCCGAGATCAAATAGGTTGGGAGAGGCTACATTACATTCTCTATTTTCCTTTGTCTGTGCCCTCATTCTCTATTTAACAAATGTTTACTCAGTCTCAAAATGAGGAACACATTTAGGGATCTGGTCTAAATTGACAAAGCTGAAACTAGCCTGTGGGTATTCAGACTTCAGGACCAACAAATACACAGATACCTCCAGTGAAAGGACTACTCCTTGTGGTTAACCATTCGTGATGCTTTGTTAAAATGGTACTACTCCAGAGGGAGAGACACAGCCGACTGGTGTCGCTCAATAACCTTTAGTGTGCTTTATTTATCTAAGGCTTTTCTAAGTGACAGCACTTGTCGTCATATGGCCAAAAAGGTAAGCCTGAGCCTGAGGCTACTGTCTTGAGAAAGTTAGTCTCCAAGAGGAGGCTGGAAATTAAATGGGGCAACCTGGAGACACTGGCTCCCTGAGGAAAGAAAGAGTCAGAAAGAGGGAGAAAGGCGTAAAAGAAAAAGGGGAAAGTCAGTAAAATCACTCCACAAGCCCTGGCAGGCCAGTCAGGATCAGCTCTCATCAAAAGGAAACAAACAACAAATGCAGCCGCTCCAAATAAAGCATCCAGCCCGCATCCCGCCATCAACCACACCCTCATCCCAGCAAACAGAGGAAACGTCCACTTTGGAAATTAATTCTTCTCCACAGACTTCACATAACAAATTCCTCTCCTGGGCAATCATGCAAGATCTTGCAAGGAACTTTTTTTAATTATAAGGAAAGGGTGACTCCCCTATCAATAAAATCCTGCGTCAATTAGTACAATTATCATTTGGGTTATTATTTCAAGTGTTCGAAATTTCTACTTAAATAAGGTCACTTCCAATTTGGTAAACACTCCTAAGTCATCATCTTAATTCACGGCCAGTCGCCCTAGGAATGCTGAGTAAGTAAACAAAATCAAGCATTAGCTTACCAGCCACAAATCCACTTGAGTTTATTAATTTCTCTCTTGGCAGAGAAGCAAGAAAAGGGAACAAACCAGCAGAGACATTCACGCACCATTCATTCAATAAATATTTATTACGTACCAGGTGCCAGGCACTGTGCTAAGCTAAATATAGGCTTCAGCACTTTATTAATATTCACAGCTAAGTTATATATGAATGTTTTAAAGAATGAAATTCTATTTTCCCCAAAATATAAATTTTAATTCCTGAGATGCTTTTTCTTTGTTTCTGCCCAGTGTGCCTTCCTCCACGGAGTGGATGATACATCCTAACTCTTAAGCTTCCAGACTCACCATCCCTCCCTCGAAAAAGCCTCCCTCCCACCATCTGTCAGGTAGTTAATGAATATGAACTCACACTAGACGCGCTAGCGAGGCACTCACTATTTTAGAAGTCCTAGGAGAATACAAATGGTAAGAAATTGTGCCTATCATTTCACTCAGGTTTTTTTAATATACATTTGAGTTTTGTTTTAGGGGGAGCAGCTGATACTTGTTCAAAGGTTTTTTAAAATACTAATACACATATATATTCCAAATGCACGCAGGGTTGTATGCAAACTAGAAATATGATCTTAAGAGTACCACCTTATCAGAGGAATGCCTCTTGTCTCATTTCAAAGGGGGCTTCCCCTTTTGCCGCCTTCTCCCAACACCACCAAAGCAATGGCACCTATCCAAATTCAATACCCAAGGAAAGAGCCACTCTGGGAACTGACCTTAAAGAAGTCACTTTGCTCATCAGTAAAGAAGGGAGGTAGACTGGAGACTTCCCTGTTCCCCCAGTGGCTTGTAGATTAAGGGGTTCAGTCTAACCTAATCCTCTACTACAGCTCCAAGGAAAGCTGGTACGCACACACGCGCACACACACACACACGGTGAACCCATGGGTCCCCTCCCCCATGTCGCAGGCTCCGACTCCGCAGGGACAGCCAGCTTACCGCGATATACAAAACACCCCCACACCACCCAGAAGGGGAGGCAGGACTCTCCCTCCCTCAGCCAGGCAGTCTCCTGAGGCTGCTGACATCACAAAGGTGTCAACTAGCAACCTCATTGTCATGTGGCTCTCCCCTGGCTCCCCTTCACTTGCAAAGGCAGGGAAAGGGTGAGACCTTTCAGAGGCGCCAAGCCGGCAAGAGTCCAGCAGCCGTCTGGAGTGAGCAATCGGCAGAGCCACCAAGCCGCGGCACTGGGCCTCGCGTTTCAACTTCTGTTCAGTTCTCCTGTAATGGAAAATTGCTTTGTACAAAGCTAGAGTGTTACAGTTCTTTCCAGCGCCCGTCCCCCGCCCCACCCCGCCCCTCGGCAGCCTTCTGATCAGAGGGACAGCGCCCGCAGGAAGGTGGAAGGAGGGTAGTCACGGCTTCTTACTATGTCCCTTGCTTCAAGCCCTGGGCCTGGGTGGTTACTCTTTTCCTTTGGAATGGGACTGGTATCGGGGTCAAAGTGTCCAAATAATTGTGAGTGTCAAGCCCAAGAAGTGATCTGCACAGGATTAGAGTTAACCGAATACCCCCCTGACATACCTCTGGACACCCGGAGGCTGTTCCTGGATGATAACTGCATCACTTTTTTGCCAGCGATGACTCTAGGACTCCTCAGTGACCTTGTTTACTTGGACTGTCAAAATAACCTGATTCAAGAGGTGATGGATTATACCTTCATCGGGGTCTTCAAACTCATCTACCTTAATCTCAGCTACAACAACCTAACCTTGATCTCCCCATACAGTTTCTCCGTGCTCAGCAACCTGGTACAGCTGAACATCTCCAACAATCCTCACCTGTTATCTCTTAATAAGTACACCTTTGCCAACACCAGCTCTTTGAGGTACCTGGACCTCAGAAATACCGGCTTGCAGACCTTGGACCATGCTGCCTTCCACAACATCCTAACACTTCATACCGTGTATCTGAGTGGAAACCCCTGGAAATGCAACTGCTCTTTCTTGGACTTCACCATCTTCTTAATAGTGTCCGATCTGGACCACCCAGGTGAGGGCTTCATTGGGTGTGGGGACGAGGATGTGATGGAGTAGGAGGAATTGGTTCCAGAAAAGATGAAGTCAAAATATGGTTAGGATGGGGAAAGAAAATCTGGGATTAAGCTGATGATTGAAAGCATTCTTACTGCTCTGCAGGATCCGTCCTTGGGTTGACTGGGGAGGCAATAAGGCTTCGTAGGAAAAGTTCTGGAACAGGAATCCAGAGAGCTGAGTTCTGGTCCCAAACTCAGCACTTACTGGTTGGCTGTCCTTGGGAATGTCAAATTTCTCTGAGCCTCAGTTTCCTCATCCATAAAGTGGAGACGATAATATTACCAAACATAGAGAGTTGTTATGTCAACATAAAATGATGTTTGGAAATGATAAAGTACTATAATTGCAAAGTAACAAAGTAATAGAGGGACACTGTATTCCATTGGTAAACTATTTTAATCTGTTTAATTCACTGACTGAATTTTTCCAGGATCTAAAAGTAAATTCAATCATTCATAGGCAGTAGAAAATCTAGTAGGAGCGTGATGTATAAAAGAGGAAGTTCAATAGAGATGGAAGGAGGGGCACATGAGCTGCCTGGACAACGAGGGAGGGAAGGAGAGGAGGTTTTTGATAGCTCCTTTGTCTTCAAGATGCTAATCTCATAAGGAGAGATGGCATGAATCAGTGGAGAATGGGTCAACAGTGCCCACTGTACTGAGCAGGGAGATTCCAATCTTAACAGGCAGATTCTCGTCTTACCTGGTAGATTTCCAAGCCAGTTGCTGCCAGTATATCCACTGTCCCCACCTGCCCTCTGCCATGGCCCTTGGGGCACTCCAGTGCCTCATTCCCTCTCCTTTTCCGTGACCTTACTGTCCCATCGTCAACCTCCAAATCTCCTACTCTACCAATATCATTTTCACCCAGGAATGTCAGAGTTTCAGAGAAATGTGAAATAACTCCTCACAGAAATTCTGGAGTCACTGATGTAATTTGGCAAAAGTGGGCTTTGGATAGAAAATCAAATCCTATTAAAATCAGATCTTCTCTCCCTTCCCTGTTTGTTTTTGAAAATATTTTCACACACCAACTTCACTAAAGTCATGCTGAAGCTGCCACGATGAAGTCCCGCCCATGTGGCAATATCCTGGAAAGACTCCTGGCCAAAATGACAGAGTTTAAGGAGAACTAGGGGAACTGAGTGATGACAGCAAGTAAAAATGTGGCCTCCTGGCCTTCCAGTGGGCGTGTCTTAAAATGTCTCCCAGGCAGGGCCTGAACTATGGTGAGGCAAGCCAGGCTCCTAGATTGCAAAATTGAAGGAGGCACTGAGAGTGAGGGTCTCCTTAAATTTTGTGCCTTAGGCACCTGGTCCTGCTGCCAGGTACTTCAACTGGAGTTCGAATAAATAAAAGGCATGAACTTTGTCAGGCCATCTTCTCTACAGTATTAATCCTAAAGGATACCGGAGCAGCTATCTTGGATCGATTACCTTACCTCTCTGTACCACTCTCTCTAGGAGCCAGAGATAATGTCTTCTACTTTTCCCAATGACTGGTGCTGTGGTGATTTCTAGAAAGCACTCTAAAAGAGGGTCAATATTAATCATTCTCATGCACTAAATGTGCTTCCTAAATGGGGTTCTACCCTGTCAATGTTTAGGTAACAAGCCTGTGGAAGAGCATCATCTTCTCTTGCCCCCTCCCCACCATACATACACATTTACCTTGAGCAGAGTCCCCGAGTTGCCAGGAGGACCTCCTACCCTAGCTGAAAAGGGTGAAGTAGCTTGGCTTCTTCCTTAGACTATAAAGCTACCACTTCATCTCCCATCAAATCTCCCTTAATCAAATTTCTGGTTACAGAGTTGTGTCTTCTCAAAATTTTCAGGCTAACTACTTTGGATGCCTTGACTCCATTCAATCCAGGATTGCATAGGAATATAAACCAGACCTGTTTCACCTCACGTTTTCAAAAACATCAGAAGGGGTTATCTATCTTATCAAGTCTGTAAGCTCCTTGTGAATGAAGAGTCTAGGCAAAGCTTTCATCCACTGGCCAGTGGGACCCCCCAACACACACAAACACACACCCCTACGACAGCTAATCTGCTCATCTTTCTCTGTTGTTTGGTGGCCCGGAAGAACCCTCTTAGTCCACTTCAAGCAGAGCTATGATCTCAGTGCTCCAGTTCACTACTATTATCTCTTAAAAACAGTGAGCCAAGGCCAGACATAGAACAATTGATATTTATATAGAGCTTTGCAGCTGCTGAAGTTTTCTCACACATGCTGTCTCATTTTCTGTGAGTATCATATCAACCCTTAAATTTTAGGCCCTAGGACTGTGGAAGAGGCTAGGTTCGGTATCTGTAACTCTGTCCATTGGACGAGAAAATAAACTGTCTTGCCCAAAATCGCAGTTAGTAAATTATAAGAAAATGATTTGAACCTCCTGAGATTTCAAACTCAGATCTTTTTCCATAGACTACTATCTCTCAAATCCTCAAATTACATGATAATTATGATTCTGTAAGTCAGTTTAATTATAAATATAAGTCATGTTATGAGCATATGGCCGCAGCATCTAAATTTCAGCTTTATTTCCTATCTGGCTACGCTTGGAACTCACTCAAGATCATTTTCAATGGATAATAAGCCCTAACCATCATAAACTTGTTATGATATGCTTGCATTCCCCTTGCAAATCCAGTTTCACCCCAATCCACCCAAACTCCAAAAGGATGACTCTAACCTCAGTGTTTGCTTTCCTTTGTGCCTTACTCAGGCTGGTTCTCCCTTCCCATACACACATACACATACAATCACAAACATACACATAAACACACATGCAAACACACATATATACACACATATACAAACACAAAGATATTCCTACACATACATACCATATTTATATATATACACATCTACTCACATACATACACACCCATATATTACATGCATATAGCACATACACACACATAAATGTAGAGACACACACCCATACAAGAACAGACACACATGTACACATAAAGTTGAACACACACACAGTAAAATTCACTAGATACTTCTCTTCTGCCTTAGCGAGACCTCAGCATTATGGAAGATATTTATTTTGTGAAACTCTCATACAATGATTTGTGGTCTCTTTTGGGTGAAAATGTCTTTGCTATTGACAAACACTCTTGGTGAACTCTCAACCTCAAGCCAACCTATTATACCACATTTACTATCAAAATGGTGGTCTTTGGCGTGGTCTAGAATGGAGTCCGCACATCTCTCTCCATGTGATCACATTTCAGGATATAGGAAGGGTTTCTATGAAATAATCTGAGTAACTTGGTTGTTTATAAATCAGAATCCAACTTCAAGATTGGTTTCATTTTAGACCCAGGGAGACACTGAACCTTACTGTTGGGAAATTTTACCTGTGGAGCAGCATTAAGTCAGTAGGACAGTGGAATGCCAGTATATAGAGCCCTTGAAAAGAAAGGCAATGAAATAAGAGACTTCTATACGACCACTCAGTCATCTGTTCATCCATTTAAATATTTATTGAGCACCTATATGTGCCAAACCAGTGCTCATAGAGGTAACTAGCCAAGAAGCCTGGGGTTGTGTATGGAGATTCATATGACTGTGGGTCATCTGCAGCATATGTGTCCCATATCAGAGGGAGGAGTGAATTCTTGGGAAATCCAATTAGCCAAGATTAATTCTACAACAGTGGAGAACCTTGAAGGAAGCCAAGGTCCAGGAAAAAAATGGAGAGGAATTAAAACAAAAGACATGAAGGCAATAATATATCCTTCCCCTAAGTCACATTATGGCTAAGGTGACCCCCCATGGAGGGGCTGTAGAAGAGGCAAAATGTTCCGTTCATCTTATTTCATTATAAGGCCACACTGAATTGTAATATTGAAACTTTCCAATATCAGCAAGAGATTTGGTGCCATTACCAAAAGTCTTCTCATCAAAAGAAACCCTCTAACGATATACTCACCAGATGCACTGAAAACTAATCAGTCCTCAAAGAGTTCACATATTCGCTTTCCAAACATAAAAATTACAGCAGAAATGGAGGTATGTTGTAATGTGCCAGCTGCCAGGTTGCTCTCGCAAGCCCTGATCAACAGAGAGTTAAAACAGACCCACAGGTTCCTTTTCCTTTTTGGCCCCGGTCAGCACATAGGAGGACGAATTCCTGGCTGGAACTGTAATTTTCCAGTCATTAATGCTATTTGAAGATGAGAGTGACAATTGAGCTCTTCCCAGGATGGAGTTCCCCAGCAGGACAGGGTTCAATGCCTCTCAGGAAGCTTTCAAAAACTCATGCAACTCTAAGCTCCTGGACATAAGGAACCTGGCCTCCTACATCCCCTTCCCGTCCACCCCCAAAGTCTGGTCCGCTACTGTACAACAAAATTTTCTGCAGCAATGGAAATGGTCTGTATCCTCGCTATCCAGTACAGTAGCCACTAGTTACATGTGGCTATTGAGCTCTTGAAATTTCGCTCGTGGAACTGAATTTTTTATTTTATTTCATTTCAATTCACTTAAATAGCCACATAGATGGCCAGTGGCTACCATATTGGTCAGGGCAGCCTTTTAACATAGGATGCTTATGCTGGAACTTTAGAATCCAGCCTCCTCACAGGTAGGTGGCTGTGGAGCTAAGCCCAGCCTGGAGATCTCCTGAGATCCCAGTTCAACGTTTTCCCCCAATGCCATGATATCTCCTTACTATCGGGCAGATCACAGTCCGTTCAGCTCTGAAACATTGATGTTCCTTATGTGCCCAACATTGTATTATAAGGTTAGGGTGCTTTTATCACAGAGAATGAAGTCGTAATTCCTGTCTTTAATAAGACAATCTAAAGATACAAGAGAGAGTAAATAGAATTAAAAGCCAGGAAGTCCCATCCTGGTCCAAGCAATGCCACTGTGTGATTTGGGGCAAGTCATTTCCCCTCTCTGAGTCTCACTTGTCTTTCAAATAAGGGAATAGGAT